GTTCATTTTCAAGATACCAAAAGAACTCACACATTAAATATGCTATTTTTAAAAGCTGTGTTACACTTGAGCAATTTAGTTAAGGGGTCCTCTGCCACAAAGAAATGGAGAATAGATGGAGGTTTAAAATTCTGAACAAAGGTACTTCCATGGAGACTGACATATAGGAGCCTCAGGTAGGGCCAATCTCTGGCAGCAGCAGTTTCTTCAAAGCTCTGACAGAAAAATTTCCTTCCCACTTCACCCAGAAAATTCATAACTCATGCCTAACTCACAACACAAACTGAACAGAGGGGAGTGCATTTTGGGGAAGAATCTCAACAGATTCACATCTAAAAAAATCAATTTCTAACTAGCCATTAAAAAGCGGGGGAAGATTTCACACTTTAGAGAATATAGCAAAAGACAAATTTCCTATTTACAGCCTAGGCTGATAATTTTCTAGATTAAATACTTTATAAAGTTCAGAGCTTTAGAAAAATGGCTATAACTTCAGCATTAGGGTTTATTAAAAATATAGTCTATTAAATCTTTTTAAATTGTGAAGTGATGGTAATTGTTGACTAAACACTTGGCACAAGTATCTGTTTAGGGTAGCACCACCAGTTTTATCAGCTGCCTCCCTGACAGCACAAAGAGAGCATTTTGTCAATTCATCCAGTGTTCAGTGTGAGGACTGGAGGTCCATTAACAAAGCAGAAATCTACTCGGGGCTTTTGAAACAAGGACTTTTGTTTTCTCCCCCATTTTTACGCAGCTACTGAAAAGTGAGATAGCTGAGCTCTGGCCTGGTTTATATGGCTACTTTGTAATGAAATGAACTGCATCCAGAAGTCTTTAAGAATCCCACAGCGCAAGATCAGGTTTTGATAACATTATTTTCTCTCTTATGTACCCGAAATACTTCAGGCAACTTAATTTAATAAAAAATTAGCATGTTGCCTTGTGCATTTACTCATATTCCATTTTCTGCCCAAATCCAGTGTGATTTCACTCACAATTAGTGATTTAGCAAATTAGCATGTCAGATCTTTTGCTAGAACATGGTGATTATGTGCAAACTAAGTCACTAAATAAATGTGAAACCTATGTTATCTTTCCTAAGAACGACACTGTATCTATTTGCATCTATACTCAATTTATAATCTAATGGTTATACCAACAAATAAAAATACTTTTTTTTCTTAAAAACATGCAAGAGAGAGATCTTCCAAGTCAGACTGTGGGCAGCAGTGAGCACTTGCGGAAAGAAAATTCATCCTGATCGCCGCGCACTTCTGGAAGAAAGGTCAGCTGAACTACCACAATAAGCCACAGAGAAACCACAGGTAGAATAGACACTTTTTTAAGAACAGGTTACATGTTTGCTAAGTTAAAGTTGCTTTGATTTAACTAATGTCACCCTGACTGTAAGGCATAAGTAAACCCTTACGTCAAAGGGAAGAAAAATATCCAGAATACAACACACCACCACATCAAATTTTACAAGTCACATGGACCCAGATTAAGAGTAGTAAAAGGAAAATTTAGACCCACCCCCAATAACATGAACAGAGAAGCAAATTCAGCACTTCATGCCTAACATTTACAGAAACTCAGGGACACAGGCCTATTATCTCTAAGAGACATGTGAAAGAAGAGCAAATGGAAAATAAATCGTTAATAGGAAACATGGAGTGTAGATTTTGCAGGGCAGAAAGAGTGAGGGAGGAAAAGCAGAAATTTTTAATACTCATTTCACACCTCTTGTAATGCTAACGTTTGCAAGTTGTCGCATTCTAGTTCTTATTAGGAGAACAGGAGTGAAATTTGTGGGATATACCAACACAACTGAAAAAAAAGCCTGAAATACTCAAGTTAATAAACGATAAAATTCAAAAAGGAAGTAGTCTTCAATTACAGACTAGTACCTAGAGGTGATGGTACAGATCTTCTGGCTTTCAACTGTACCTGCCCACGCTGCCTCCCACCCAGATCTTCTAGAGACCAAAACATTCATGAACTCTTGCTCTAGCAGCTGGCCAGAATTAGTGGGAGAGTGCATGTATACCAAGTGGGTCATCTGTGCCCTAATCTAAAATTCACTGAGACTGGGGAAAGATTCTCACTGGTTTTACCGGACTGCGAATCTGACCCCAGAGCATCCTGTATCATCATTTGAAATTACATCCGCATCCTTGCCAACAAACAGCTTTCTAGAAGGCTCTACGACCAAGTCAGTCACCACTCAAAATGACTGTCTGTATTAACACAGTACTTTAAGAAGAAAAATAAGCAAGAAACTCATTCTGAGTTAAGTTTTGCACAATATGAGGGCCAGCATGTTAAAAGATCTTAGAAGTTTCACTGACTTCAGTACAGTGAGAATTTCATACTTGTTTGTTCTGTGGGAAGGACTATACTCAGGCAAAATGAACAGAGCATAATTAAAACATAAGACTTCCCCAACTTTAAAGCTCTTTATAGCTTCAGGCCTTCTATCCATGTATATTCAGCAGAACAGGGCAGGGGAGGAAAGCAGACTCATCTTTACCAGCCATATCAATTTAACAAGAACACACAGAAAGTCCAACAGAATGCATTTTACTTCAGTAATAATAACATTTTTACTTTGTGAAACTTCTTACAGCAGGTGTTTCAATCAAGCATATTTCTTACAATAAGTTTGAAAAATAAATTTAGCTGAATACAGTCAAAACCCATGCCATGGAGTACTGCAAAGCAGCTAGATACTGTTCTCGTACTTACCCATTTGGCTAGAGCTTCTTTGATAGTTGTTGCTTTTGCCTAAAATTGAAACAAATTTAAATGAATTTCTCAAACTCCAACAGCATCATGAAACCCATTTAACAGCTCCCAGTGTGACAGCAAAAACAGCTGGCTTCCAGTTAATAATTTTTTTTCGGTCAGGAACTTCATTGTATTTTTTGTAATTATGGTAGCCAATTGTTACAGCATTAGGGTACATGATCTCAGTTACTTGTGTCAAAGACAGAAACAGATTTATATGACCAGTGCCTGATTCTGTTTCAAACTCATGCCTAAAACAAGATTGGACTTTAAAGCTAGTGATCCACGTGAGCACAAGGAGCAGCTTCTTCCCTGACTTCTGCTGACTTGTCTCTCCCACTGTAATATCCGATCTGATGGGAATATGAAAATCAGCATAGTGGGTTATCAAAAGAACACATATCAGGGATGTTGTTTTGTTCTTCAAAGTACACTTGAAATTTCTGTAGATAAATCACAGTATCTTCTGTCAAGGGAGGCTACTTAAAGGAAATCTCTCTGAAAAGCCTGTTTTCAGGGTTCCTCAAACTGCATTTTGAACAATTTCCTGCAGGTATTTAGACTAAAGAAAGTCATATTACTTAAAACATTCAAAATGCCAAGTGATCAATAGCTGAAATTGCCACCCTTAAGAGTCACCATCAACATGGCAGGAACAAGAAACATAATACCTTGGGGGGGGGGAACCATCCCTGTACATACAAAAGTCGTAACAAAAGTATTTTTCCCCCCGAAACACGACTATTGGGCACAGAGTATTTACAAAATTCAGACCCCCCAAGAAAAAAAGTAAAACAGTGACACTTTGCCTTCGTTTGCAAACATTTATTTATATGTTAAATAAAGCAAATGAGAATTGCACAGCAACAGATACCACCCTAGTCACTGTGGTGATCGCAGACGCTCCTGCCTTAAAAACACTCCGGCTTATAGACGACAGCATCCTAGACTCCCAACAACTGCAGGACGAGAATCCATTTTCTCCGACTACTTTGATCCATCCCTGAGACGCCCCTTTTCCAAGGCACCGCAAGAGCCCACAGCTC